AACTTACCTGGCTGCTTCTTGCTCTGACTGAGGGCTGCTGGGAGTAGGGGGTGGGGCTTGTTTCATGTGCCCGCCCCCTGGGCTCTTTACTGCCAGAGCTCCGCTCCTGTGCGCTCCTGCAGGAAATGTCCCCTGTCTGCATGTACCCAGTATGGATCCTGCCAACTTTTCGGCTGCTGCCAAAGGAAATCAGGGCAGTCTGCTGATTCCTCTTATTACCGTCTTGTTTGGTCTTTGGCCCATAGGAGTATCATGATCCCCAACATAGCCTTTTGGGGGATAAAACAGCCCTCCCCCAGTAATGATATTAAGTTTTAAGTGTGTGTTTCTTTAAATGTTTGGTAAGTTGGAGAAGAGCAAGGGGCTGTGTGAGGGAGGTGATTGGTTGGTGACTGAGAGTCAGTGGGCGGAGCTAAGAAGGGTGTGTGGAGAAAGTCAGTCAGGGTTTCGGCCAGCAGTTCGCAGTTGACAGTCAGTTGTGGTCAGTTAGCAGTCAGCAATTAGCAGCCAGCGGTCCACTCAGAGTCTGGGAAAAGCCGTCTTTTGATTAGAATCCCATATTGGCACTGTGGAAGGCATTTAAGAGTCTAAAAGAGAAACAAGATTACTTACAGAGGGCATATTAGTGACCACAGAGAGTCAAATCCTGCTATTTTCAGCGTATTCCAAGCGCTTGAGAGGGAAAAGCTGACAGAAGCCCAGGTTCAAAAGGGAAAGATTGAACTGAGCAAGATATAATAATAAAGATTGGGCAAGGTACCTTCTGAAGAGAAGGAAGAGTTTGAGAAAGAGGAGTGCTTGTCAAGAGAGAGAGGGGGACAAGTCCGTCAGAAGTTACTAACATACCCTGTTTTATTCACCGAAGCGATAAGTTACACAACGTCCCGAAGCCGACGTTGCTTCTTGTACAAAGAACGTTTTATTTCGTTTTGTGAAGACCTATAGTTATATGCTATTACAAGACGGGTCGCTGTGTTAGTCTGTTTGTAGCGGTAGAAAAGAGCAAGAGTCCGGTAAAGGTAAAGGTTCCCTTGCTCGAAAGCCAGTCGAGTCAGACTCTAGGGTTGCGGTGCTCATTTCCATTTCCAAGCCGAAGAGCCAGCACTGTCCAAAGACGTTTCTGTGGTCATGTGGCCGGCATGACTCAACACCAAGGCACACGGAACGCTTTTACCTTCCCACCGAAGTGGTCCCTATTTATCTACTTGCAATTTCTTGCTTTCGAACTGCTAGGTTGGCAGGAGCTGGGGCCAGAGACGGGAGCTGACTCATAAGAACATAGGAGAAGCCAATGTTGGATCAGGCCAATGGCCCATCCAGTCCAACACTCTGTGTCACACAGTGGCCAGAAACACCAGGTGCCATCAGGAGGTCCAGCAGTGGGGCCAGGACACTAGAAGCCCTCCCACTGTTGGCCCCCCCAAGCACCAAGAAGACAGAGCATCCCTTGCCCCAGAGCCCCTATCTATACCTTGGTCACTCCGTCATGCAGCACACTTGGGTCTCGAACTGCTGAACGACCGGTCTTCCGCAGCCTGCAGTTCAGCGTCTTAACCACTTGATCCACCGCAGTTCCTCAAGAGTCCAGTAGCACCTTACAAAATCTGTGGCAGGGGATGAGCCTCTGTGAGTCATGGCTCACGTCTTCAGATTCCAGTACGACAGCCTCATCTTCAGAGCCACAGAGTCCAGGGGTGGACAGACGTGCTTAACGTGACACCCACACAGAATAAATGCCAGATGTTTGAGAGCTGCAGGACACGAACAAATATTGCACACTTGTTTTTATTGAAACATGCAAAGTTGCTTTTTATTGACATTAAATGAGACCGTGTGAAACGGCTCCCGAGCTGCCGTTTGGCCACCCCTGACGTAGTCCAACGAAAGCGCCTTAGAGCCTGGGCACAATACCGTAGGAAAGGTTAATCAATAAGACTGGGGATTAAATTCCTGGCGGCAGCATTACATACCTTGAGCGAGAGAAAGAGGCAGCAAGGAATGTAAAAACGCACCATGCCTAACTGTGCAGGTTAGAAGAGAAGTCGTGACACCCTCCTTCAGTGTTCCCTCTAAGCTGAGTTAGTGTGAGCTAGCTGGCTCTGTTTGAGGCTCTGGCTCACACATTTTTGTCTCCGCTCAGGAAAGACGGCTCCAGAGCAAACTAATTTACGCAGTAGCTAAATCGCTCGCTCACAGCTTTAATGCCAGTAGGCCACAAAGTAGAATTTTTGCTCGCAAGACTCCACAGCTTAGAGGGAGCATTGCCCTCCTTGTGTGCCCGCAGAAAAGGTGCCTGAATCGGTGCACAGTCTCTGGCTTTGAGGCGGGCAGTGAAGAGTCCGTGCCACAGAAGCAGTATCCAGTGAATATGTACCGAAGGCGTAATAGTGCTGGATGCATCTTTGGTGGCCAACTTAGCCGTCTTTGCAGGAGTCCCCAACACGGTGCCCGCGGGCTCCACGGTACCCACCAAAACCTTAGGCCCACCAAGTGGCTCCTGAAAGTGGATAGGGCCGGGTGAGGCTCTTACGCCACGCAGCTTCTGATAGGCCACTGGAGGTTGGTTTGGCTGTGCAGACTGAAATAACATTTGCAGCATCGGTCTTACTCGGTCTCTCACTCCTCTTTCCCAGTCCGTTTTTTGAATCACCGTTTTTTGGACTTCCTCTGGGCGCGTGTATGGCTCTGCCCCCCGTGGCAGCCATCTGGTGGTTGTGCCCAACACTCTGTGTCAGGCTTCCAAAGGTGCCCACAGGCTCAAAACGTTTGGGGACCCCGGCTTAGTATCGCCTCCCCCAGCCCCAGGTCAGGAACGCCCCCCTTTCTTTTAAAAAAACCCGACATCTTGGAAAGTGAGCACAAGCAAAATCAGGAAGGGCGCGGAGAATTCAGATTTTTATGCCCAGCGCGGGGTCCCTGCGGCCGTAACGGTCAGGGCTCCCTGCGTGCTGCGTTGGCGTGTCTCCCTGCCGCTCCATGTGCTCTTTGTTTTAAATCCTCCAGGAGACTTGCAGGAAGTGCCAGGGGCTATGGAAGGAGCACATGAACCTGACCTGCGAGCAGCTGGCCGAGAAGGACGACATAAAGTACAGAACGTCGATGTAAGTAGCCCGGAGTGGGCGGAGAGGGCTGGAAACCGGCTCTGCGTGGGGGGGAAGGGGAGTCCAGAAGGCGAGTCACTCTGCCGTTGAGGCTCTTGTCTCCCCCGGACCACGGGGGCTTGTGGGCATCAGGCGGTGCGTTTTTCCTCGTCGCCCCGCTAACACGTGCATTTGTTTTTGTACACCTGGGAGGGCGGAGCGTGGGGGGAGGATGACATCAGCACGGGGGCACCTTCCTTTCCCTTTCCAGCTGTGGAGCTTCTTGGTCATCCTGCCCTCTGCAGCAGGTCCAGAGTCCGCTGCGCAGCGCCTGCCCCTGTATTCTCTTCTCCTGTACCGTAAGATTTCAGGCATCGCTCCACGTTGTGTGCCGTGACTGGTAGCGGCTCTCCAGGGCCTCAGGCCACACATGAATTCCTTCCGTTTGGTGTCGTGGTTAGGAGCGCGGACTCTAATCTGGGAGAACCCGTTTTGATTTCCCCACTCCTCCACGTGCAGCTGCTGGTGTGACTTTAGGTCAGTCACAAGTTCTCTCAGAGCTGTTCTCTCAAGAGCAGTCCTCGAAAGAGCTCTCCCAGCAGCCAGGAGCTCACAAAGGAGAGTTTTTGCTCACCAGACTCCACAGCTCCAAGGGAGCATTGGGGGTGAGGGTGAAACATTGAATCTGGAAGTCAGGCAAACCTTCCTTGCACTCCTTGTAGGGAGGCTAGGATAAAAAGACATGGCAGAAACGGATCTTGCCAGGTCAAAAGAAACACGGTCCCTTTTTAAAGAAAACATCTCCCTTCACGGAGTGTCAGTGGCGGACCAGCGTCTTCTTGAATGTTGGCTCAGGCAGGAGCCTCCTTGTCGATCCTGAACGACTTCCGTTTAGGGAAGTTCCGAGAGTCACATGAAGCCTCTGCCGCCCTCCTTGCCCAATTCAGGAAATCTGAATCGACTGTGTCCGTCAGAACCCCTCTCGGTAAACTTGCACATGACCAAACAGTGCTTCTGAAGTAGTGGGGAGCACACCTGCATTTCTTTTGAGACAGAAGAAAAATAATTACATTTATACCCCACCCTTCACTCAGAGAGCGGCTCACAATCTCCTTTCCCCTTTCCCTTCTCCCTCCCCACAACAGGCATCCTGTGAGGGAGGTGGGGCTGAGAGAGCTCTTTCAAGGACTGCCCTTGAGAGAACAGCTCCGAGAGAACTTGTGACTGGCCCAAGGTCGCCCAGCTGGCTGCCTGTGGAAGAGTGGGGAGATCAAACCCGGTACTCCCAGATTAGAATCCGCTGCTCTTAACCATTTCACCACACTGGCTCTTAACCACTACACTACACCAAGCCACACGTAACCACTACGTTCTTAACCACTACACCAAACTGAGAAGGTGCATGCCCGTATCGTAGAAGGTGCCATCATAGAAGAGGCATTACTTCCTGGGTGGGAGAGGAGATGGAAAGCCTCTCCTGAGAAAGGCGTCTTCCACCGTCTTGCCACCACGACAGGGAGGGGCTGTGGCTCCGTAGTAAAGCATCTGCTTGGCACACAGAAGGTTGACCTGGCATTTCCAGGTAAAAGGATCAGGTAGTAGTAGAAGAAGAAGAAGAGATTGGGTTTATACCCTGCCCTTCACTACCCGAACGTGTCTCAGAGTGGCTTACAAACTCCTCTCCCTTCCCCTCCCCACAACAGACACCCTGGGAGGGAGGCGGGTGGGGCTGAGAGAGCTCTTTCAAGGACTGCCCTTGAGAGAACTTATGACTGACCCAAGGTCACACCAGCATACCTAACAAGGGATACTCCAAAATTTATACCCCGCCCTTCACTACCCAAAGGAGTCTCAGAGCGGCTCACAAACTCCTTTCCCTTCCCCTCCCCACGACATACACCCTGTGAGTTTGGTGGGGCTGGGAGAACTCCGACAGAAACGGCTCTTTTTTCAAGGACAGCTCTTATCAGAACTGCGGCTTACCCAAGGTCATCCAGCCAGGTGCAAGTGGAGGAGGAGTGGGGAATCAAACCCGGTCCTCCCAGATTAAAGGAAGAAGAAGAGATTGGATGTATACCCCGCCCTTCACTACCCAAAGGTGTCTCAGAGCGGCTTACAAACTCCTTTCCCTTCCCCTCCCCACAACAGACCCCCTGTGAGGCAGGTGGGGCTGAGAGAGCTCTGACAGAAAGGGCTCTTTTTCAAGGACAGCTCTGACAGAACTACGGCTTGCCCAAGGTCATCCAGCCAGGTGCAAGTGGAGGAGTGGGGAATCAGACCCGGTTCTCCCAGATCAGAGTCCGCGCACTTAACCACCACACCAAAGGTGATGGGAAAGACCTCAGCCTGAGACCTTGGAGAGCCGTAAAGAGGAGCCATGGGCTCAGTGACAGAGAATCTGTAGACCCGGTAGGGGAACTGGATCGGATTAGTACTGACAGAGCCTCTGCTCGACATGTGGAAGGTCCCAGGTTCAGTCCCCGGCATCTCCAGTCAAAAGGACCGGGCAGTGGGTGATGTGAAAGACCCTCAGCCTGAGATCCAGGAGAGCCACTGCCCGTCTGAGCGGACAATACTGGTATTGATGGACCAAGGGTCTGATTCAGTACAAGGCAGCTTCACATGTGACAAAATGTTCATGTGTGACCAGCAGCTTTGGTGTCGTGGTTAAGAGTGGCGGACTCTAATCTGGGAGAAACAGGTTTGAGCCCCCACTCCTCTGCATGCAGCTGCTGGTGTGACCTTGGGTCAGTCACAAGTTCTCTCAGAGCTGTTGTCTCACAGCAGTTCCCAAAAGCCCCACCTACCTCACAGGGTGCCTGTTGTGGGGAGGGGAAGGGGAAGGAGATTGGAAGCCGCTCTGAGACTCCTTCGGGTAGTGAAGGGCGGGGTATAAATCCAGTGTCTTCTTCTTCTTCCTCTAATCTGGGAGGATGGGGTTTGATTCTCCACGTCTCCACATGCAGCTGCTGGTGTGACCTTGGGTCAGTCACAAGTTCTCTCGGAGCTGTTCTCTCAAGGGCAGTTCCCGGCTGTTCTCTCAAGGGCAGTCCTCGAAAGAGCTCTCTCAGCCCCACCTACCTCACAGGGTGTCTGTTGTGGGGAGGGGAAGGGGAAGGAGATTGGAAGCCGCTCTGAGACTCCTTCGGGCAGTGAAGGGCGGGGTATAAATCCAATCTCCTCCTCTTCTACTTTTGGGAGTTATTCCTGTGTTAATTTTTGTCAAGTTATTTCATGATTCAATCAGTGACTCCTTTCCAGTCAATTAAACCCTGCCTGTGCTTACTCTCTGGGGGAACTTTAGCAGGCTAAAAGGGAGCTGGGGGAACCACGCCAAGCTTCCTTGCCAAGCTTATTTATTATTTGTTCATTTAATTCATTTAAACCCCGCCTTTCTCCCCAATGGAGACCCAAAAGGACTTGTAACATTCTCCTCCTCATCCATTTCTAACCTATGAGGTAGGTTAGGTTGAAAGAGTATGTGACTAGCCAAAGGTTACCCGGCGATCTTCCATGGCTCGAGCAGGGATTCGAACTTGGGTCTCCCAGATACTAGTCCGACACTCTTAACCACTGCTCCACAATGTCCGTCAGTGCCTGGAGGTTGCTTATTTTTTACAGGTAGCCAGTTACAAGTCCCTTCAGGGTTCTCATTGTGCTCTGGAATTCCCTGTGGGGGAACTGGATTTCATCTGCGTGACCTTGACTTTTAGTTCACAGGGCCGCATGTGCTGTATCGTTCAGCCGTTTCCTTCCCTGCAAGGGGAAAAAGGGAGAGAGTCTTAGTGCCAAACCAGCGGGAAGCTGCTTCGGATATCTTTTTAACAGAGTTTATTTGCCTCCGGGAGCCGACGGGGTGCAGCTGAGGTCTTGACAATGAAACTTCCTGTTTGAGCACAGGAAGTGCAGCTGGAGATCAGAGGCAGCTTCCTGCTCTGCTCAGAGGGATGAGAGCAGTGCAGCCCCGACCGGGAGTGCGGGGTCGGGGTCGGTGCCAAGCTGTCTTTTGACGACCCATCTGTATGTCAGAAGGCAGTTGCCGGGATGGGTTGGGTGCTCGAAACTTCGCCTCCCAGAGTCTCAGTGGCAGAGCCTCTGTGCTTGGGCATGCAGAAGGTCGCAGGTTCAGTCCCCAGCATCTCCAGTTTAAAGGACCAGGCAGTCAGTGATGTGGAAGATCTCAGCCTGAGACCCTGGGGAGCTGCCACCAGGCTCAGGCAGAGGTCTTTCACATCACCTACTCCCTGGTCCTTTTTAACTGGAGATGCCGGGGATTGAACCTGGGACCTTCTGCTTGCCAAGCCGAGGCTTTTCCACTGAGCCACAGGCCCTGTCAAGACCACTATTGCCTCTTCTGACTATTAGCAGTTCTCCAGGGTCTCAGGCACAGAGGTCTTTCACATCCCCTCCTGCCTGGTCCTTTTTAACTGGAGATGCCAGGGAATGAACTTGGGACCTTCTGCATGCCAAGCAGAGGCTCTTCAAGTGAGCCACAGACACTATCAAGATCACTATTGCCTATTCTGACTATTAGCAGTTATCCAGGGTCTCAGACGGAGGTCTTTCCCATCACCTCCTGCCTGGTCCTTTTTAACTGGATATGCCTAGGATTGAACCGGGGACCTTCTGCGTGCTAAGCAGGGGCTCTTCCACTGAGCCACAGGCCCTGTAAAGACCACTATTGCCTATTCTGACTATTAGCAGTTATCCAGGGTCTCAGACGGAGGTCTTTCCCATCACCTCCTGCCTGGTCCTTTTTAACTGGATATGCCTAGGATTGAACCGGGGACCTTCTGCGTGCTAAGCAGGGGCTCTTCCACTGAGCCACAGGCCCTGTAAAGACCACTATTGCCTATTCTGACTATTAGCAGTTCTCCAGGGTCTCAGGCGGAGGTCTTTCCCATCACCTCCTACCTGGTCCTTTTTAACTGGAGATGCCGGGGTTTAAACCAGGGACCTTCTGCATGCCAAGCAGGAGCTCTTCCACTGAGCCACAGGCTCTATCAAGCGCACAACTGCCT